TATATATATATATACACACACACACACACACACACACACACACACACACATATATATATATATATATATACACAGACACACACACACACATATATAGTTCATGTTAAACTGGCTTCATGTCTCCATCTTAGGCATTCTGAACATATTGTTTGTGAGTTGGTACGTTTGCTCGTATTTGATTGGCTGAGCAGGATGATGTGATTTACAGCTCATGTGATTGGTCGGTGTGTTTCCTGAAGAACGATTTCCGCAAAGACGGTTAAAATAGAAGCGCTACTTCCTGCACAGGGTCCCTGGTCTTCTGGGGTCTAGAGGACTAACTGTCCTCTGTGATGTTGCTGCTAGATTTAAATCAAAACCATGTGGATGTGGAACAGGATCAGGTTTAGGATGAGGACTTGAGGAAACATATTTAAAAACGTTATTAGAAACAAAGAGCTGTTTATTGACACAGTTCATGACGTGTTTTAGTTTATTTACATAAAAAAGTTCATTAACGACGATACAAACAGTCGGCTCTTAAAAATATTAGAAACATTCTTTACACGATGAAAAAGTGAGTCTTTGAACGCACCGCGGCTTCATTCTCTACTCAGAGCTGCAATTTACAGAACAGAGGGGGGTCCACGAAGCAGCCGTGTGTCTGAGGCACCACAGAAGAAGAGGAAGAGGAGTCAGGGAGGAAGAAGAGGAGGAGGAAGAGGAGTGAGGTCAGTACTGAATGTACAGAAGATCAAATGAGACAAAGAAGAAGAAACATTCTGACTCTAACAAATATTTTTGTGGTGAAAAATTAAACTCTTAAAATATTAAATGTAATATTTAAGTTTAAATGAGTTTCAGATAAACTAAATTAAAATGTTCAGATTAAATCTTTAGATCTTTGAGATTAAATCATATTTCATCACTTTATTATATTTAGTAAAATGTTTTGTTCTCATAATTCAGATTAAATCATAAATTAAATTAAGGCCAAAAGGTTAAAATAAAATGTTTTAATTATAACGACTAAATCAAAACGTTGATTTATTTCTGTCTTCCATATAAACCAATAACTGAATAAATAAAAATCATTTTAAACAAAAAAGTTCATCTCTCTCTTGTTTTACCAAAATAAAAGCTCTGATTTTATATAAAACAGGAAGTCAAAAAACTTTAGGTAAAAACAATTGTTCATAAAAGAGAAAAAACGAATTTGCATTATGACCTCTGACTCCCCAAAATAACCTGTCACTTTATTTTGAAATTAGGAGACACTGAGGATGCAGCAAGGAAGGAAGGAAGGAAAGAAGGAAGGATTTGTGTGGCGGCTGAACAGACGGCTGACGTTTCTCCTCAAACAGGAAGTCAGTCTCACGTGAGGGGGCGGGGCCAGGTGGTAGCCCCTCCCCCCTCTGACAGTTTATTTCCCATCATGCCCTCAGAGCTGGCTGAGTGGGCGTAGTCTGTGACTGGGAAGGGGCGGGGCTTAGTGGGCGTGTCATCACCTGCACTCCACTGCGACGGTGTTCTGATTGGGCGAGGCCGAGGACGGACTCATACCTGTGTCTGAGGAGCCCGAGGACGTGGACGCCGTCGTGTTAGACACTGAGAGACAGAACTACACGTTAGGGACAGGACACAGGGTTCTGATGGACTACACCTCCCAGCATGCCCTGCAGCTCCTACCTTCTCTCTCCTTCTTCTTTAGTCTCTTCCTCCGGCGGTCGATGGACGCCACCTCAGACTTCAGGCTCATGTAGTACTTCCTGATCTCCTGAAGCTTCTCCTGCAGGAAGGAGATCCGGTCCGTGCTCGTCATGCTGTCCAGCTCGTCTGAGGAGGGGGGAAGAGAAAGAGTGTATGTATATATGTACATGTACATGTACACACACACACACACACACACACACACACACACACACACACACACACACA